GCATTTTTTTTCACATTTCCTACACTTGTCAGATACATCAATACAATGTACCTAGGAACATTGTTCACAAATAAATTATCACAAAAATAACCCTACAGAATGTTCTTAATAATTATTATTATTACTCATGAATATGCTGAGATGTGTAGTATCCCAAAATGTGGAACATAGACAATGTAATAATCAAAAAAAAAGAGATAAAATAATTAAAACACAAAGTGTCCCTAGGTACAAGTCTCCCTTAAATGGTGATTAATGTTTAAAAAACATACATGATTACATTTAGGACACCGATTTGGGAATTATATAATGTTTGAAACTTAAAAATTGCTCTCCTGCAAAACTTGGTGTTATGGTAAATGATCATTCGTCTCTACTCTTATTTGCAATCATTACCATTCATATAACAGTTAGCACCTTTGCAGTACATTTACAAAATTGTTATGAACGTATGATATTTTAAAATTCATTTCAATATCAAATATTAATTTATAGTTAAACTGATTTTTTCTTTCTTTTTTTTAACTAAATTGAACCTCTAATATAATTTATTTGTTTCATAGTACATAGTAATATTTACCAGTAATTTATATACAAGATAAGTGAACTTAAAAGACTCAGCCATCATATCTAGCATATGAGAGTTGATTGGCCTTGACTGCATTCTAAAGCATATATTTTGACATATTTCCTTGTGTATTTTCTGTTTTAATACAAAATAAATATAATGGGTTTTAGATAAGGAAGTGAAGAGGTAAAGGATGAATATCTGAACATTCTTTCCTTCAATCTTTTCTTTTCCACAACCAACCTAAAACAAAATCAATGATTGTGCATACTCCTGAGGTCACGGTCTCTCTGGGAACGACTCCGATTATCAAAAGGAAATTGATGCTAAAAAATGAAACATTCTTTCCAAGATACCTCCACTCAAGAGTAATCTAATATTCTTCAATCCCCAGGTTAATAAATCATTCTCATCAATAAATGATTTTTAAAAATTGCTTTTTAATCCAAATGTGGTGGATGTTCTGGATATAATGTAGTTACTGCAGCATCGCCGAATGTTGAGTCATACTGTCCGGCAGATTACTTCTCCATTCTTCCTATTAAGACAGAACTTATCAAAACAGCACTTTGAACTATTCTCTCATTGCTATTTTCTCTATTAAAAGTCATCACTCAAAAAAACAAGTTTTTTCAAAATCCAAAACATCCAACATCTCAACCCTCACACAAAATACAAATTTCCTTCATACCCCGATGGTTTCCTCTCATAAAAAATATCACTTCTCTCTTGGAAATGAAAAGCAGATATAGCTGCCAGAAGAGCAACTAGTCTTTCAAATGTTGACCAGCTTGGCACTTGAAATGACTTCAAAAAATTTTAACTTTAAATCTTGGAATTGTCAATGGAAAGCTCACCACTGAAACTCTAACTTGCAAAAATGTCTACAACAGAACAATAATTTCCAATAATACAATTAGGGAGACAAGAACAATCGAGGATTGGCAACTCTAACGTTACCCACTACCATGAAATGAAAAAATTAATCCCAAAGAAGACCCAAAACGTGGAGAGATTATTACTTTAACTCAGGTAATTACCATTATTTATTCGTATGTTTAATAATTATTAGGAAACCTCTTGGTAGTGAAGTATAATTGCGAGTGACAACAATCTCTATGAACTAATAATGAAGAAGAAAAGAAAAGAAAAAAGATTGTAAATCTGTGTTAAAATTCCTTAAAATGAGCGATTTTGAGAAAATAATATTACTTTCTTACATTTATCCTTTTATTGTATTATATTCAAAACAACTTTCAGTGACTATTTTTCAACATGTTTCCTTGAATTTGCATGTTCTATTCACTTTTTATAAAATAAAAGGGCTAGCTGATGTCCCTGCAACCTAAAAATAAATAATTAAAACAAGCAGCTGAAGAACTAACCCAAAGGGTTGAAAGCTTTTACTTTCAAATTCAAATAAAGTTTAAAAATTGAAAACTTGAGAGCATAAATATATTGTGTTTCGTCCTTCACTGTGAAATGTACCACCATTTATAAAATATACCTATAAGATCTTGATAGGAACTTTGCTTCAGGGTTTAAGTAAATCACAAATCCTGAAGGCCAGATCATTTATTTGGAACAGAGTGAGTAAAGAAAGTCTACTTGGTCCTAAAAATAAAGGACATAACAATGCATTGGAACTTTGTAATTTTCAGAAACAGGTCGTTTTGTGTTGTCCTGGCTTATCACGAAACTCATACAGTTTTCCCAAGCTGAAGTAAAGTTTAGCAAATCCTGAATGCTTGTGGTGATGGTTGGGGAATTCTGTAACCACCACTGTAGCAAACACGTGATCATTTGTCAATCAAAGAACTCACTTTTCGATGTCAAACAAACAAAACAACAATTAAAAACAGAATTTTTGTGAGTTGGGATGTCTTTCAAATCAATATCATCTTGAAAAATTATATTTAAGCTGCTTTTGAGGTTTTTCAGATGAATCTTAAATTCGTAATCCTTCTCTCATCAGTAGATGAATGAAAAATTGACATTTGTAATTACTCCTTTCATAATTTAATGTGTTCAATGATAGCCCACTACACAAATAGGAGAAAATATGGAGGCACCAACATATTTAATTGATACTGTGTAAATTTTGTTAGTCAAAACAAACAGAAAAGTTTTGAACTTTTAAATCAAATTTTACACTATGTCAATAATTAATTTTGCAATTAAACTGAATATCCTGCTTTTCGTCTTGTACGGTATATTATTGTTATTATTATTATTATTATTATTATTGTTATTATCATTATTATTATTGTTATTATTATTATTATTGTTATTATCATTATTATTATTATTGTTATTATTATTATTATTAATGTAAGTGTTGTAATTTTTGCAATTATTGCCATTAACTGCCACCGGGTCATACCCAATTGCAGTTCTAATAAATCTATCTATCTATCCCAAGGATTCTCACAATAATGCTTATCACAAATAAGTGTTAGTTTCCAATTATGTATAAACTACCTTCTTAGATTACTGCGAAGCATCTTTGCGACCTACTCTTCTGAAACCTCCGATCTCAAAGATATGCTTTCTCCCTTGTCCTTCCTCCTCTCCCACCAGCTAGGATGTGATGGAGAAGTGTGTGAAGATTGGTGCCAAATATTTAGAGTTTAGGTCTTGAAAAGGTTTAACAGTTTTCGGCTTAGCCAAACAAGACCATATTAGTTCTTGATCTTCAGTAGGTAAGTTGAGGAGTAAAATCAAAGTAAAAGAATGAGGATAATCAAACTATATTTCAACTAAAAATACATTTAGGCTCTGGTTTATCAGACAAACCTGAAATTAAGTGATACTAAATAATCATCTTGAAAATAACCCAATTTATACAGAATGTAAGCCATCCACTTTATAATACCTATTATTTGCCAAACCATTTCTGCTACTGAATACTGATCAGGAATGTTTGTAATGGTAAATCATAAGAAATTAATAGAAAAAGGAATGAAGAATAACATATGGTCTCCTTCTGAAAATAATGGAATTCATAAAAAAATTACGTGGCAGAATACATTTTCACTGAGGTTTCTTTCTTGAAAAATTTAAGAACAGTTAACATGGCACAAAAGGCTATGGATTGCATACATAATGTATTGATTTCACAAATCAACTATTTCTTTGCGATTAATACAATGATGAAAATGATATAATTGAAACATGAATTAAAAATCAAAATGTAATAAAAAAAATCTTCATTTTATTGACAATTTACACAGCACAATGCATGCACAAGCATACAATCCTGTGCTTTCCAATTTGCTAGTTTTAACAATTAGGAATGTAACCAATAATATCAGGTATTTTTCAAAGCGTTTAATACAGTAATCAACATCTGTCTATTTGTAAAGTTAATGTATTTAATCCCTTTTATCCTCTTTTTCATTTTTAAACAGTTTGTTATCCAGTTATCAAAAAACTCATTTAAATAATTTAGAATATGTAACTAAAAATATTGCTCCATAAAATAGAGAAAATGAGAATATCAAAGAGCCTTTTCCTTCCAGAAAAGAGTAGGCAATTAAAAAGAAAAATTATCTACCACCAATTCAAAGGAATTGTACATTTTTGAAGTTCATCTAATATGATCTGTAAATTGGAGAAAAGTTCTAAATCAATTTAAAGAACTTTCTTAGCAAAATAATACACATGCTAATAAAATCATAACCTAACCAAAAATTATAAAGAACACAACAAATAGCACAATTTGCACTTTTCAATTATATAAAAATAAATTAACCATGGCAGAGAAGAAATCCTTTTTGGATCATATAAGTCATAACTAGTCGTTTTAAAGCATATAGAAGTAAAAGTATTTTAACTCAAATTTTAAGACTGTAAATACTCTTCTGCAGGACTGCAAAAGCATTTCCATTGCAATAATTTTAATACAAATTTGTTTATAGTAAATAAGAGACACCAACAAAAAAAAATACCAATGTAATTATGATATTACTATAAATTTCCACATTAACACTTAAACTTAATTCTAAGTTATAAATAAACAATCTCAAAGAAGTACAATACATTCATATCAGTAACAAAAAGTCACACTCGCTAATACAGTTGTAATGTTTTTCACAAAGTCAAAGGAACTCAAAACTCCTTTTAACCCTCTACCACAAAGTCTTCATGACAATACATGGGCACCTGAGTTCATCAGAGTATTTTGTTATTTACAATCAGCAAACATCTCATAAAACTTATCTTTGTCCAGAGAAAATTAATGCTGTAAAATTCACTTTCAATAACAATATAATGAAGAACAATACCTACAAGAGACCACTTAGTAGGTACAAATATTCATCTCTAAGTAACTAGTCCAACATTTTTAGTCAAATGACAAAAATAGCATCTTCTGCATTGATTTCTCACAATTGTTCCACGAAGTTTGTACTCAAATTTTTTTAGAATATTTTTATTTATTTGTCAATGTGTTACCTTCTTCCAGGCTATCATCTACCTTCATAGCATACAATGATGGGTCTATCACTTTGGGAATGGGCTTTATCTCTGTACCTAATTCTTGTTCAATACGATGCAATGCAAAGCGATCTGTGTCTGTAATTAAATTTATTGCAATACCTAAATGACCAAATCTTCCAGAGCGACCTATACGATGGAGATATGTTTCAGCCATTTTAGGAAAATCAAAATTAATCACCACATTCACTGCTTGAACATCAATACCCCTAGTAAATAAATCTGTGCAAACCAAGTTCCTACAGAGGCCTGCTCGGAAGTCATGAAAAATACGATTACGATGGGCCTGTGCCATCTTAGCATGAATATAATAACAACAATATCCCAGTTCAGTGATCTTCTTAGCAAGAAGTTCAACCCTTTGAGTAGAATTACAAAATATTATACTTTGATTGATTTGCAATTTTGAGAACAATGTATTTAAACAATGAACCTTTTGTCTCTCTTGCACATAAGCATAATACTGAGTAACTCCTTTCAAAGTTAGCTCCTCCATTAGATTAATTTCATATGGATCTCTTAAATGCTTTTCTATAAACTGTTTTACTGACAATGGAAATGTGGCAGAATAGAGCAAGATTTGTCGTTCTTTAGGCAACTTAGAAATAATGTGATCCAGCATCGCTACAAAATCTTGAGATAGCAATTTATCAGCTTCATCCAAAACCAACATTCGGCACTGATCCACATTAGCAACATCTTTATCTATTAAGTCAATAATGCGCCCTGGGGTAGCAATTATAACCTGCACTTTCTGGTATATTCTCATAATGTCATCGCGGAGATCTGTACCACCAGTTGTCACCATTACTTTGACACGCATGTGTTTTGCTAATTCTATACAGATCTGACTGGTTTGAAGGGCCAGTTCTCGCGTGGGGACAATCACTAATGCTTGAATGCAGTCCTTCTTGGAATCTACTTGCTCCAACACAGGAATGGAATAAGCACCAGTTTTGCCTGTGCCATTCTTTGCACGTGCTAGAACATCCTTTCCAGATAATGCAATAGGAATACTAGCCTCTTGAATTGGAGATGGTTTTTCCCAACCCTTTTCAAAGATGCCCATTAATAGTTCTCGTCTTAGGCAGAATTCTTCAAATTCATTCCCTTTAGTGTCTGTAACATCACTGGTCTGAATTCGTCGATCTTTAGCTGGAATTTTCAATTTTGCCTTCCAGCCTAGATCATCTTCCTTGCTGCCTTCAACTTTAACTTTATTTTTAATTCGGGCCGGGCCAATTCGATTTGTATTCATACGGGTCTCCATAGCGACCTCACGTACAACCTCGCAGTAGAAGAGAACAGAATAACTAATCGACGTCTGAGGAATAATGACCTCACTAGAAATAATATTTAATGTAACTGTTCAAAACTGTAAAGGTCTTTACAGAAAACGGGCAAATACATTCTTGAAAAACATAATCCACACAATGCAGTTTATCTACAAGAATAAGCCGGAATCACTTTCCGCATGTACACAATCCGACACCATAAACCGCTGATGCTCATAGAATGTTGTAAAGGTAACACCATACTCAACTAATGGACACTGATAACTGCGTCTGGTTAAACTTTTCCAAAATTATCGTTAGTATTGATAATTTTCACGTAAGTTGGATATTTTGTAGACTAAGGAAGTCTATTGCTATCAAACGCCCAAGCTGAAGCTGGATTCTCTCTAATCGCGGAGAGACCGTAGAGTCATACACTATGCTTTGACACCACACAAAATCATCTCAAGTGTTATCACGAGACAATACTCTTTTACACCCATCGCATCGCAACAACTCTAAGACACCGAGAGGCAGAATTTTCGGACTGACGGGACATCAAGAAACAGTTGAGCCTAGATGATTCGGTCCCGAGACCATAAGCTTGACCGACCGATCCTCCAGTTTATAAAAGATTTCCTCACCAGAGGGCAGTGTATATGCCCAGGACCCACGAATGCGCGAAATATGGCGGACCTGAAATATTTCAGCTGGCGTAAGCAAATATCCCAATATTCTACCGTGTCCGACTGCAATGACACAAACTCTATTCAGGTGAAAAGTGTACTGATCGAATATTTAGTATTAATGGGCACATCAAATATTATAGTAGTTACTCCCTTAAGCGTACCCCTGGAATTGGCTGCGTTCCTCTCCAGATGGAGCCGGAGAATCAGCGCCGATCTACATTGAGCAAATGCTGAGATGGCCCCTTGTTTGCTCCTTGCAACTTCGCCCTCTCCACCCAAGGCATCATATTGACTCGTCATACACGATTGTAATTGTATATGTGACTCAATAAATATTATTATTACTCGTCAGCTTGTGGGATTTCTCCTCTTCAGGGATCTCCCACTTTGAGGCACCTCCCTCAGTCAGGACCAGAGGGGTCCAGACTGGTCCCTTGACATGTTAGATAGTGTAGTCCTTTCCTAGAAAAGATGGATTTTTCTCTTAAGAACAGATCCCTTTAAAATTTTAGACAGCAGACATTTTTTCCAATTATTTTATTTCATAACAATTCAAATTTAATCTTACGTCTATGTTTCCCCATTCTTCAACGTCGTTTCGAGAGCTTGTGAGCCCCCATCGCAAAAAAGTCTCTCTAATATTTTTGTTTTTAAAAAAGCGACGAAAGTGAAATTGGCCGATAATTTTGAATTTCATTTTTGTTGCCTTTTGTGAAAAGCGACTTTATATAAGCTGTTTTAAAAATTTCTGGAAAAATTCCTGTACATAAGGATACATTAAATATACGAGTTAATGGGTGTATAATGACGGGCGCACAAGTCTTTAATAAACTATCCGGAAATTCGTCTAAACCGGCCGAATATTTATTTTTTAGTCTACCGATTACTTTGAGAATTTCTTCGGAAGAAGTTTCGGAAACGAACATCGTATCTAAATTTTTTGGGGAAACGTTTGACGTTGAATATTGTGGCTAGAAGGGAAGTATGTGAGTGACGCTCGGACAGTTCAAAGACTATTTCATTGATGGATCGGTTGACGTCTAATTCAAAAAACTTAATTGTACATATTGTAGGCGCTTTCCTAATTGTGATTTTAGTGCTCATAAGTACGCGTAGTTGTTAAATTATTGAACTTTGATGAAAATTGTATTGTTCGTGAACGCGTACATTTTACTCTGTAGAAAATATTTTATTTAGTGTTTTATTTACATAATTGTGAGTTAAAGTGCTTCAAATGACTTCTAATAACGTTTTTCTAAAACTCAAAAATTTTCTGTGACAAAGAGGTCCAAATTCTTCAACGAAAATCGCTATTTAAGACGAGATTTTACTTTTATTTACTATTCTTTAAGTTATATTTCGGTTTTACTATTAGGAAATAGAAAAATTGAGAACATTTAAAAAAATATACTTGCGTAGCGGTAGATGACAGCCGGCAAGAGTGTGCGACGAGCCCTAATAACGTGCCTAGGCCAAATAAAATAGAAAATTAATTTGAGAAACTTTGTGCCACTCTCAGGTACCATTCGTTACATTTTTCTATCCATTTTCATTTTCCTGTTAGCGGTATCAAGAATGTTGATTTGCGATCACTGATGCTTACGAATTAGCGATCATTGATGCTCGTTGCAACACATTGTTGTTGCACTCAAAGGAAGGCGATGATGGCCGCCGTTCGTTCGCGTTAATATGAAATAATAATTTTATTCATGGCTAAAAACGCATCGCGTATCGTTTTACAGTTATGTAGAACGGGAACACTGAATTCTACAAGAGAAAGCTGTTTAAACGCCTGAATTGAAAAAAATATATGTATTTTTCACGCTTAGCGTGTTTAAGAATTTTTCAAATGGTAGTTGAAGTGTAAGATAGAAATTGTAATAATATAATATTACATAGTAACAATATCGCGAGAAAGTAAGGCAGACAGATCGCGAGAAATAAGGAGCTGGAACGCTACTGCACGAAGTAAGGTTGCAGCTCCCTATTGGAGTCTGCCTTCCATCTCCTTTACTATTCAGTTCTTCTACTACCTATTCTACTATTTCCTATTCTACTTCTATTAATCCCTACTATACGAAGGAAGAAGGACGGCAGGTGAGTCTGCCTAACCCTCTCCCCTTTTCGTGCGAGACCTTGACAGGACTCTTTTTAAAAACATAAGTATTGCTTCGAACCTGTTGGAAATTCCATGACTTCCTACAAATGATTATCATCTTTGTTTTCTCTTTACCTATAACACATGCTTATACCAGTACAGCATGTCTATTCTGCCACATTGTAAAGCATGGTTTACTTCGGTCAGAGGAAACCCCCTTTTGTGGGGGGGCCAAAAAAAAAAAAGCCGCTGAGATGTGTTCAAAATGTCTCAGGCATCTGTAAAACATTGTGTTGTCGGACGTTTTCCCTCGCCTTCTTAAAACATTTTACCGTCGAAATTTTATTATTTGTCTATTTCAACAGGTCTCGAAGCAATAACTTTGTTTTTAAAAGATCCTGTCAACGTCTCGCACGAAAAGGGAGAGGTTAGGCCAGACTACACCTGCCGTCCTTCTTCCTCGTATAGAGGATTATAGAAGTAGAATAGGAAATGAGTAGAATAGTAGTAGAAGAACTGAATAGTAAAGCAGATGAAGCAGACTCCAATAGGAGCTGTAACCTTAACTTCGCTGCAAGTAGCGTTCCAGCTCTAATTTCTCGCGAAAATCTGTCTGCCTTTAACTTTCTCGCATATTTTTACTATGTGTAGGAATATAAAAAAGGATTACAATGGCCCTATCACACTGCAACGATAGTACCATGTGAAAAATGCTAAACACGCGAAGAGAACGGAAAAAAAGCAACTCAGGCTACGATTGTGTGCGTAATTGTACAAGGCTGCGTCCGGTGTTGTTTTGTAAACAGCGTCGCTGGGAGTAAGATGGAGAAATTCGTGTCTTGAGGCCTACCCTCCTTTCGTATTCCCGGTCAACAGAACGGGGGTGTGGCGAGACTTGTACAGGAACTCTTTTAGAAAAACGAAAAAACGCGTAGGCATTAGGATATTGCCTTATACAAACCTGTTGGAAAATAAAATAGAATGAAATAGATCAGCATAAATAACAATCGGCGAAACCACGGATACGAGAAACGTCGTGCCAGAATCGAGCGCCATACGTTTTGGAAAAGTCCGACAGCAACAAAGTCTAAGTTAAATCCAAGAGCATTCTCACAATGAAATGCATCCCTAGGCTACCAATTTCCCGTTAGATTTTCATGTTGATCGCAAATCAAACATTCTTGGCATACCTTGGAACAATCTCAGGCGGCTTTTTTAGCACACGTAGGAAAATAAAAATGCCGATACTGGACCACGAAAAATGTAAAACGAATAGTTAACCATGGTGGACCTAAAACTCGTCTGAGGCCAGAAGTAAACTCACGAAAGCTATTCTCCGCATTTAGATTTTTACTTGTTGTAATATGTGAGCCAATGTGTTATAGGTAAAGAGAAAACAAAAGATGATAATCCTTTGTAAGGAGTCCCTGGGCACGGTTAATGATATATGGCACTTCTGTTCTACATCTCTTGCGCCGGGCTTTTTCTGTCAATTCTTACCTTTCTAACGCAAGTATATTTTTTTATAATTTTAATGTATATCTCTAATTGTTTCTCAAATAAACCTGAGTAAAAGTTAGAGTAAAACCGAAATATAACTTTAAATGAGTAAAGACCAAGTAAGTATAATAATAAACGAGAAAAATCATAACTATGCGTAAAATAGCGATTGTTCGTGAGAATAAAATGTTATTGGGACGCCCTCTATATTTGTGCATCTCAAATCTGCGTGACTGAAAGGGAGGTGGACGTGCTACTCGTCAGCGAGCAGCCTCAAAGAGAGGTTCTATAACATCGTGCTATTATATACACTAACATTTTTTCAAACTACTTGTGAAAGTCATGCAATATAAGTTAAGAAACATAAATAGCACTAAATACATAATACAGAGAAAATATTTTCTGACAGATGCATATTAACGAGTAAACGCGAAGTGACAAGGTTCATGAGGCGGAACTGTAATCTACGAGTATGGCTTCACACGATGCAAAGTTCATAATAACGTCAACCGTAGACGAGGAAAATTTATAGGGGCGTCTGATTTAACTTCCCCGGTGAGCAAAAAACGCATAAAAAATCACAATTAGGAAGAGCTGCCTGACAATATATACAATTAGTTTTTTTGGAAT